CACACGTTCACACAACCACACATGCACACATTCAGATAAACATAATTTAATGCCCTGTCGCCTTTCTTTCATGCGGTTTCATTATTCCGCTATTGCGTGGCATGTAGGCGTCTAAAATGCCTGCCTGTTTGGAGAATGGGGGAGTGAAGGGTACTCCACAGACAATTGCACTTGAATTTTGAATGTAGCTTCTTTTTTCTGCCCTTCTCTCTGTCTCTCCTTGAAGTTTTGAGACAAGAGGCAGATTATTTTTCATGATAGAGTATGACAGAGGGATTAATGATAATTTATGTGAATGAATTTCACGTAACTGCCATTTTTAGGCTATATCCTTGTATATGGTTGGTGTGTACGAAATGAATTTAGAAACAAGAAGAAATAAGCACTGTTCTACAGTGAACTGTTTGGTAGTTCAGATGAATAGCCCCATTAAGCATAAAGTTACATATGATAAATTGTTTTAAACAATCTACTCAATATTAGTGTGTTGTTTTTATGCACAAGAGAACAGTGTGCAATGGAGATTTATACTCTTGCCATTTTACATTCATCAATCAGAAAGGCCAGGTGAAGTAACTCTAAAAGCTTTTATAAATACCATGACTCCACAAACCTCCTCCCCACAATTAGCAGCACTGGGCTCCTGGCAGGCAGCTGCCTCTCTCTGTGAAAATTAAAATTAGTGATGCCGACAAAGCAGGAGACAGCTATAAGGAGAGACCAAAGCATTTTCAAGTCTAGAAAAATGGTCATGGGGTTGATAAAGGTGTGTCTAAGCCCTAGTTTGAGCGCAGACAAATGCATAGACTTAACAGACCCTGTGAAAAAGCTCAAGAATGTTACACATTTCTCTATAAAAGAACTACATTTTGTCAGAATGATTAGTAAAATTTCCCCAAACAAAGACTGGAAGTAAAACCCTGTTTCAAGCTTTTATACTTATTAAGAACAGTGTCACAAAAACAACTGGTTGCAGTTTTGGCTCATGATTATAAACTAACACCTCACTTTTTGCAGTTCTAACTTTTGGGAACCAGGCCACCTTTTACTCACTTAGGGTGTTCTCACGAACAAAACTTTCCATCAGGCTGTCCAATTTTTGGGATGTGACAGTATACCACATACATATTTGGCTTTCCATGAATATATGAATAAGCCCCCATCATTAGGTGGCATTTTTACTGACGGTACCGAAACACTGATCTCACAGAATCGTGCAAATAAAGGTGTGATGACATTTTTGCATCTGTGGGATGGTGTGTGTATTTGCGGTGAGCACATGCATCTGCTTGCCTGTCTCTCTGCAGCTGTTCACATAGTTCATTGTGCCTCCAGGTTATATGTGTGAAAGTCAGCATGTGCGAGTGAAAGAAAGCAGACAGAGGATGTGTGTAATGGGAGAAAGTGGGAAGCGGAGACCGAACAGAGTGTGAGTGAGTTTGTGTTCACGTGTGTCTGAAGTGAGTCAAATACACATGCGCACATAAGTAAATATGTTCAAATGTATGTGTTCGTTTAGTGAGTAATGTAAGCACACTGTGTGTGGTGAAGGGGGCACGTGGCGTGTGTGTGGACCCACATTCATGAGAGGAGTTGTGCGTCTTGTCTGTGTGTTCGGGGGTCCGGGGCCAGAGACTGTGTTCGCGGTGAAAGCTGCTGAGTGTGCGCACTGTTCTACAGTGCTGCATAAGCGAAAATCCATACTGGGTTAAAGCTTAGACTGAGAAGACCTGCGTCTGTGTGTGTGTGTCTGTGTGTGTTCAGGGAAAACTGGCTTGATGCGAACATTAAAGTTGGTATTAATATATGCATGTAGGTCTAACGGTTGGGTAGTTGTTTGCATTTTAAAAAACAGCTCTGTGAATTCACATGGAACTTCCTTTTGTATATATATTCTACGTATTCACTGACTGTGCGTAAGCATGTCCTCTGCTTGGTTACTATATATTGTATGAGCTGTGCTGCACTCTCTCGTGCTTCCATTTCCAAATGAGCGTGTCTGTGTTTAGGTTGGAGGTCCTTAGGTGCTCACGCCCCAGTTCCTCTTATTTTCCAAACCACAGTAGATCCCGGCCCAGATAATGCCTCTCTGTGTGATTCCGTCTGCTCAGGCCACCTTGTTTCTGTCAAAGATCACCACAGGATGAAAGATGTGTGTCTGATTTTTCTTTCTTTCTTAGACATTTTTTCTATGGCCCATTTAGCGGAAACCCTTCATGACAGACCTCGTCTTGGACCAGCGGCTGGTTTCAGCTTTCAGATCATAAAGGTCGTCACATAAATATGTAAAATGGCAGACAATAGCAGTTGAGAAAAGAGGAAACTTCGCTTTGTCATCTGGTTTGTTCATTTGCTGCTGTTATTTTTCTCAGGTTCGTTTTTTATTTGAATAAAATTTAGCTATCCTTAAAGTATTTACTTTTCATTTCATTCCCATCTGTATGCCCTGATTGGCTTTCTGCCACATCTATTCAGCTTCTTCATTGCTGAAACATAAGGAGAGCTCCTGATGTTCAAACTCCTGGAAAACACATTTCCTTACTTTCCTTCTTGGACTAATTTCCTGTCCCAACTGCATCACATCTTATCCGTAAACTGAGAACTGGGGCCTATCTGATTGGCTGCAATTTGATGACAAAACAGTGGTGATGATACCATTTTAAAGCACATTTCAAAGTGTGGGAATTTGTTAATGTTTGTATTTTATTATATCTATAATTGTCTCTAAACTTTATGATTTACCGTTATGCGTCATTAGGAGTTGAACAAGAATGGAGGTGATCGTTTGCAACTGGAATATTAAAGAGTGGTATAAACACAATCTGATTTTTAAAAATGAGTTGCGTGTCTTGACATCTGGGCCTCTTATACTGCTGTGTTGACGTCCTGATGAAAATGGAAAACACACAGTCTTATACAGTTCCACCTTCATCTAGATCCTGTCTTAAATTACATACAATCCTTATGTATATTAAGTGAACTTTGTTTACTACTACAGAAACATCAAATTTGATTCTTTACCTACACAAACCACACCGAAAGAAGAAGTAACCTTTACATTTTAAGCCCCACATAACTTTTTTTCTTATATTGATGGACATTTTGGTTAAAAAATGGAAAAAAAATGCCTGTATATCACATGAACTATGTTGATTAATAGTTGCTTTTTAAGTTGCACTCAAATATAGAATGAACTTCATTCATAATCTGAGAATTGTAGATAAGCTTTCCAAGGGCAGTGTATAAATGTGATTGACAGAACGTTAGTGTGGAAAGAATGGTCAGTATAGAATTGATACCTAAACTCAAGAAAACCCACACACATACGCTCAACCCATCTGTGGTACAGTATAAATTTTCACACAAACGTCCAACCCCAGACCTCCATTCATGGCCACATCCACCCACTCCAGTCCCCTTTGCCTCAAACCGAAAAACACAACTGACACAGATGAACTGCAACCATCTTTATTAGGTGACGACCAATCCTTTTCACAGCTCATGTACTGGTACTCGTACCCAGAGAGGGCTGACATAGCGTTTCCCTCATCTCCCCTTTCCATCACTTGTTTCTTTTATGTGGACACAGATGTCCGAGATCTTACACACTGTGAGTGGGCACAGATGGCTCCTATAGCAGCCCGTCAATCAGAGCTTTGTAGGGAGAGCCAGTAGATCACAGTCCCCCTTGACTGCGCACATGTATGTGTATATATGTGTGTTTGTGTGTGTCTGGGTCTGCTTGTTTCTACATCATGTGCCTATATGTGTCCATGCCATGTGTTGGCACTGATGATGATGGATGATGCTGTCTGATCTGAGGTTTATGTGTCTGTGAGCTTTACCTATGCCTCACATCGAAAGCACATGTTGTGTCAAAACACCAAGATATTCAGATTTTCTTTCTCTTTAGTGGTAAATCAAATGTAACAGCTGATATTAAAAGTACAACTATTTCGGGCAATCTGCACTACAGTATATTAGCAAAACTGCTAGATTGACATGTGGCATATTTTTTATTTTGTCCTACTGGTTTTCAGTTAGCCAAAGCTTTTTTAAAAGTTGTATGGTATCCATCTAAATTATTATCAAGCCATGTCAAGAGTGTTTTTCTATTTTTATCAACATGATCATAGTAATGTGCTCTAACCTGCCACTGTGAGGTAGGGATTATGCAAATATTTTTTTATGCTTTGTGTGTGGAAAATACGCAGATCATTTATTGTACTGTGTGTGTTGTATTTAGCAAAGTACTGAAAGCCCACTGTTCCCCTTGGAATAACGTCCTTTGTTAATGTACTACTGTACTCTTGTGATCACTAACTACTTAAAGGTGACTAAATGAATTTCCTGTTACTAAAATGCTAAAGGTCTATATAAACTATTATATTGGTTTCCTTTTAGCCTTGTCACAGATTGTAAACTCATAGAAGATTGTCTACAACTTGATTGTAATACTAAGAAGTACATCTGCAGTCACAGACTCATTAATGTAGATTTTTACAAAAACCTATTTTAGGATTCGTGCCTACACCCACAGATACTTCCTTACACAAAGTCTCTCCACTGCTCCTGACACCGTGTGAATTATTCAGCCAATCACACGGCTGAGCAGTTTGAACCGTGTCCTTGATTGTGCCATGCTGTGCTCACTTTAAATGTCTCAGGGTGTATGTGACTGACATGTGTCTGCATTCAAGTGTGTAGAATTGTTTGTGTGAAGCGAGTGAGGGAACATAAAATGTTAATATTGTAATCTGCGGGCCTTAAAGATCAGGGAGACATCATATATCCATTTGTAAAGATGTTAGAAAAACAAGCCACTGGTGCAAGTTTGATATGTATAACATTTGATTTAAATGGTTACATGTATTCTAAAAGCACATCTTCTAATGCATATGTTCTTGATTAGTTTATATAATTAGTTTAACTCCACTTTGTTAGGAAGTGTTTTTTATCCATTAAATTGGCTCACTTTGTTCTTCTTTTCTTTTTCTAAGAAATGTTAGACTCCAGTAACCTCATCACCTTCGATGGGATAGCCAACAGCTCAAGCTACGACACTTTCCTACTGGATGAGGAGCGAGGGAGGCTACTGGTCGGAGCAGAGGACCACATCTTTTCCTTTGATCTCGTCAATATCAACAGGGACCACAAACAGGTTAAACTCACATGCCATAATCTCTAATAAAATTTTGGTTATGTTTGTAGGGGTTCAATAAAGTCAAATTTCCTCTTTTCTTCTGTCTGCTGCCCCTGGCCCTGGAGTCCATTACTCCATCTATATCTTTCCTGCCTTTATCCCTCCCACTTTCTGTCTGGGTTCAGACACAGGCATCCATAATTCCATTACTCCACCTGGACTAGGTTAACAGTCGTTTTATCTGATTCAGCCGGCTATCATAGACATACGAGAGCGATGCAGACTTGCCTGCAGGCTGCAGCGAGCTGCTCAGGGGAATCAAAGTGCTGAAAAATGCATAGAAGAGAAGGCAGTGTGTCCCCAAATTCCTTTGCCCTAGGCTTGGAAGTGTTTTTAATTTCTCTTCCTTTTTGTTGTTTTTTGTGGTAATGTGTGCACCATTGCAAGACAAAGACAACACGTTGTGATATTGCAAACATAATGTCATTTTGAGGAAATTTCCAAGCAAAGCACAGTTGATCAAAGACGAGATAAAGGCAAAGAATAGAATGGAGAATCTGTGTATCCCAATAAAAGAATAATGCACAGACATATTGTACGTGGACAAACATATTAACATCTGTGTGTCCAGCAGCAAAGATGAAGAAAATCTGAGCTCCTTTTTTACCCCAGTTTTGAGTCCCTGATTTATTTACACTCATATTCTCCATGAGGGTTTTAAAACAACTTTGAACAAGTGTCTAGTTAAATCCAACAAATGCAGCATATTAATGTTGCATTTGTATGCCTAACATACATATTGAGCTAAAAGTTGAAATGCTTTTCTTGTACCTTGCCTACTTCCATTTCCTGTAATGGAATAAATCATTGTTCTTTTTTTCATTGCCATCCCTCTTTCGTCATATTAATGTCTATAACAATTTAGAGGGCTTCTAAACTGAAGATTAAGGAACTAAGGACAAGGAAATGTTTATTTAAACCTTGACAAACCAAAAGTGATTATCTTGGAATTAAATAACTTCTTTCTTTTTCTCTGACTGACTCACTGCCCTGAGGCATTCCTTTCATGAAATTCCATGTTCCCTCTCCTCCCCACCTCCAGTTTAATAGTAACTTGACTTTCTCTCATATGCATAGATTGCATGGCCTGCCACCCCTTCGAAGAGGGATGAATGCAAGTGGGCAGGAAAAGACCTTGGGGTAAGTTATCATTCATGATTTCATCCATTTCTGAGCTCTTCTATGCAGTGTTTTCCTTTTCTGTTAGCCAGTGTATCGAAATTTTTCCGTCCACAACTATGTTAGAATTTTTAACTGTAACATAACTGTATAAGTCAATGAGATTTAATGGGACAATGGAAGTGAAAAAGTTGGAAAGTATTTTAGACAGAAGCTACGTTCCAGTTGATCACTGTGCCCTCTGTGGTACATTCCCCAGTGACGCGTACCACCAAACACACATACACTCATGTTCAGTCACAGTAAGGTGCACACAGTGTGTCAACAGCACATGGACAATGATACAGAGGTTATTTGCTTCCGTGGTTTACTTTTTAATGTTGGGAGCATGTTTATGTATCCACCTGATAGTGTGTACATGTGAGCATATTAATAAGGGCTGTTTTGTTTGATTTCCGCTTATCTGGCCTAATATGTTAGCTCACATGCCGAAACTTAATGCACACGATGCAACCAATTTTTTTTAAAACTGTGCACACTGCTGTCAGTGTATGTAGACCTTGTGTTGTTTTGAAAAAGTCCTCCCCGTGTTGTATCTGATCTCAATTTCATGGCTGGATAAGTCCCGAGTTCCAAGAGCTGAACATGTTTCCGGATGATCCAGAATTGCATTTGTCATTAAAAATGCCAAAGGTTTCCCCTGGAGTCCAGCTCAATACCAGCTTTTGGCTTTTTACGTTAAGTCATGCTCAGGATCAGCGCTGCACCTACACGCTGTCGCACAGCGGAAAGAATGCGCTCTGGCAGCAGACAATACCCAGAAAATACAGTGATGAGGTATTTGCGTGCTGTAAAAATGTTTACCCTTGAAAATGAGGCGGTACGAGCAGAGACAGAGTACTGTACTGAGAGAGGCCTTGATTAGGACATTACTAAAGCATTCACAGCTCCCAAAGTGATGCATTTCTCCAAACCACAATTTACAGCCACAGAGCAAATGTAACAGCTGCCCCCCCCCCCCCCCCCCCCCCCCCCCCCCCCCGCCTCATCCTCTCCCACAAAATGCCTGAGGTCTTTATCACTATTCATAGCAGAGTTAGTGTAACATGGCCCATGTTGTTGCATTTTGATTTAGTGAATTGAGTTTGGGTGCAGGAGTGTGGCTTTTTGTCGGAATGCCTGATGTCATTCCTGATTGGCTTCCCAGATATTACTGACAAATCACAATCATCCAATAGTTTTAGAACATTCCCATTCGATTTTCTGGATTCACTCAAAACCCCAAAGTTTTCGCACATTTAATCAACTAATTTTAATGTATAAATAATGTATAAATCTGTCCACCCATTTCTCTGATGGATAGTGGTCATTAATACCCATTCCAAAGAGAGTGATTACTTTGATCCAATCATGATTCATTTATTTTTTCTGGGTAGTTTAGTTTTGCTAAAAATGACATGGTTTGTGATCGAGGAAACCATTTATCACTTATGGGCAACACACAGCTGGACATGAGTGACCATAAATAATGCCTGTCAGTGTTTAGGTCAAACCTACCTACCACATAGCTAATGAGTCCAACTAAGACAGCCATGTAAAATCCTCAACAGAATTGAGTAAGTGTTGATAACATGCATATAATCAGGGCATGTGAATGATGAAAAGGGGGACATGTGCGCGCTTAGTTTAGGAGTAAAAAACACAGAGGGGATTGTCATTAAGCTGAGCAGTCACAGGCCGGGTAGAGTCAGCTGCAAGGCACAGTGGGAGTTCAATCCTTTTCTGAGGAGGCACCAGTTGTAGTGAATGAATGAAATGTGGATATTTTCACGTTACGTGGAAGATTTTGAAACAGAGTTCTATTTTGACATTTTTTGAAGTGGTGATTTTTTAATTTGGCTCACAATCTGTTGAGTAAAAAAGATTGATCTTTTATCTGAAGGCAGGAAGGTTATTTTCTAGCCTAAAAAACAGATAAATTATTTAATAAAATGTTAATTAGGTTCATGAAGTTCTTTTTATTTAGATTATAAGTATTTATTGTGTAATTTTAGCACTCTGCCTCCACTATTAATTGAAGGATTATTAGGTTTAGCTAAATTTCTGTTTTGACACTTAGCCAGCATCCAGACAATAATACTGCTCATTCTGTTACCTACCAAAATAAAAAAATCCATTTTTATGCAGCTGTTTTTAAGGGTTAAAATGTGTTTTATTGGCTGAAGCAAGGTAACAAAATAGTTAAGCTAAGCAGCTGTTTTCTGCAGGCTCATAGCGACCTAACAGAATGAGCGGTCCCATTTTTACATCCAAGTCTCTGCAAGAGACCATAACAAAATGTCAGTCTTTCCCCTTAAGCATATTACAGGGGGGGAAAGAAACAGACAGGGCTGAATGTTTCTGCCTTTTTGAATAATAACAAAGTCCCGTGTTTTGGAAAAGGTTTGCATTTTTTGGTCCCAGAGTTGATTTTAGCTGAGCAAAAGATGTCATCACTCCAACTTGATGCCTTGCATCTATTTGTATCTCGTGGAAGGGGCATCATCGGGTCATCAAAGTGTGAGCTTTTGAGCTGATTCCTGTGTTGAAGTAAGAAAGAAAAAGGGGTAATTTTGCTGTCATGTAATGTGATGTGATATGTGCTGACCTGCCAAATCCCTGTGCAAACGTGTACCTTATTTGTCAGGTGGCTATAAAGTATGTATAAATAATTTGCCAAAACTCAGACTAATCTTTTAAACACATGTATCCAAATCAGCTCCTAAAGGCCGCTAATACTCCTCTGACACTAACCAGTCCTATTTATTAGCATTTTAGTAAACCTCCTCACACCACTGGGACAATCAACATGTAACGCCAACCCACAACCTCGTGGTAAATGCAGACATATGGATCAGAAAAAGATCTGTGGTAGTTCTGCCCGATTTGGCCTGCAGGTGGGATATCCTTGAAGGAGAATCTATTTTACACATCATTTCCAAACCAAATGGAAAGTCCCTGCTCAAAGTAGACTTTCAACAGAGATTTTCTCATAGCCCTGTTATTCGGTCCTTTCTAACAGTTTATATTTTCATTTGAACCATGTGAAAAAAAATCTGTGCTAAAAATTTAAACTTAAGTTCTGTAAAGGAAAACACTTAATTTCAGCCTCATGATATAGAGGTTTAACTTGGCAGTGTAAGAAGTTGCTAACATATGCAAGCCCTTTCATGAACCCCCAAAGTTTCATTTGATTTGGAAGACTGTGCAAACAACATAGACAGATACAAGTATCACATTCAGAAATGTATGCAAATCTATTTGTGTTATCAGTAGGTCGGAGGCTTATTGTCCTTTTTTTTCTTTTGCAGAAAGAGTGCTCAAACTTCATTCGGGTCCTTCAGCCGTACAACCAAACCCATCTGTACATCTGTGGCACAGGCGCCTTCCACCCAATCTGTTCTTATCTGGAGATGGGCAAGAGGGCAGAGGTAATACATTTGCTGCTTTAATATACCCACATATTGTGGCGTTTTAATAAGTTATATATATGCACAAGGTAATTTAGGTCTCAGCTGAATTGTCATGAAGTGCGTGATCAGTTTTATAAAGCAATGAGAGGAAAACACATGTGAAAAGTCAACCACAGTAGTTTACATTCACTTCATCTGTTATGTTCCCTTTAATGTTCTCTATTGTGTAAGAAAAGTCAGGAAAATGCCTTTCAGCATGGTTCAATTGAAGCTGTTGGAGATTGAACCACCTCCCTTCTACATAAAAGTTTAATTAGTCATCTTGATGTAGGTCTACAGGTTAATGAGTGTACCAGCAGGATTTCTGCAGTCTGACAAAAGGGTGTGGAGTGAGTGTTTGCACTATGTAGTTTTTAAGTATAGCTGTGTGAGTTAAATCCATCTTAAAATCCATCTAAGTTTCCCTTTTATTACATGCAATTAATTAAAAGAATATTGGAAAAAAATGTATTCTCCTCTCCTCCTTTCCTCATTTATTTTTAATTAAATAAATCATTTTCAAATGTTTCTATTTCTCTGCTGTAGAAACAGTTGTGGCCAATGCCAACAAGCAAGCAGTGTTGAAATGGAAAGGGAGAAAGCGAAGCTCATAAAATTTGTTTTGCATCCCACCCCCAAAATAGAATGCTATTAAGAGATTCCATTGTAACTTAAAGCACAGGCTATAAATGTACCTTTAACCAGCCTTAATGTGGCTTTCATTGGCCTCATGTTGAACTTTGACCCTTTCTACCCGCAGGACAACATCTTTCGACTGGCCTCGCTATTTGAGAACGGCCGCGGGAAAAGCCCCTATGACCCCAAAATGCTCTCAGCCTCGCTTCTGATTGGTGAGTTTGATCATTGCCTCTATAAGTTAGGAGCACACGTTCGCTTTGGTAATTTGTTCCTGACTATCAACTCTCCACTGGCAGATGGAGAGCTGTACTCTGGTACTTCTGCTGATTTCATGGGAAGGGACTTCGCTATATTCCGTACACTTGGGGATCATCACCCAATCAGAACGGAGCAGCATGATTCAAGATGGTTGAATGGTAAAAGCAGGTTTTTCTTCATGCAAACATTCCCAGAGAAGTTGAACTGTGTCTGGGTTTGAAAAGTTTGTTTTAATTTTTAAGAAGGTTGGACAAAGCACAATCACAAAAATCTCAGAAAATACATTCAACAAACAATAATACTTTATAAAACATTAGTACAAAACCAAAGTCATGTCAAACATTCACTGAACAGCATGTCCATAAAACAAAAAAAGAAAAAAAGAAAATGCCACAATATAAATAAAATCCTCAATATATATACAGTAAATACGATCAAAAGCATAAAAAAGCACACAAAATGCATCGTGTTGAAATATAGTCATAAACGTTGTTTGGTAATCTTAAATCATGTTTTTGCATTTGAAAAGTATACACCAGCAGAAGAGATGTTTTTATTTTTCTTGATTATTGGATTTAATTAAATACATTATTTATTTATTGTTTTTTCTTCGGAAATTTGAAATGATAATTGAAATTATAATAATTTTTTTTTAGGTTAATTTTTTCCCCATTTCTTTTAGGTTTTCTCTAACATTGTTTTCACTTTGATTTCGTTTTGCGTTTTCTGATATTTAATTTTTTCATTAAATTAATTAACAATATAAAATGGAGAATGAAAGCTCAAAATAACAAACTCAGACAGTCATTGCTGTCACTGAACAACTGCATAATTGAAATGTATTTCAAACTCATTATCACAGTACAAAGTAAACCTTTATCACGGGCCATTATTTGAAGCGAGAATATTGTTGAACTTTTCATCAGACTGAAGCTTAACGTTTCCCCCTGGCCTCATGTCTCTGATCATTTCCATTCATGCGCAGTCATCAGATATCAGAACCCATTCACAAAGTCTTTGGACTTTCCTGTGCTTGTAAGATTAAAGCTGAGGTGCGGGTTATTGACTGCTCAGTCCGTCTGGCTATCTTTCGGCACAGCAGAGGACTTAGAGAGCCACAAAAGGTCAGGTTGAACCTTTCCCTCAAGCTGTGCCATCCCTTTTCCCCCTCTTTCCCACAGAACTAATCCGTTCTCAGCTGTTTTCCTGTATCAGGGTCAAATTCTTCCCAACTCTCCACTAGCATCCGCCTCCCCCTCAACACCATCAAAAATCACAAACACTGGCCTCTGCAGTGCTGATCACTGTGACACATGAATATGGGGCATTTAAAAAGGAGAGGTCTTTGTGATGGACCTAATCCCCATCGATCTTTCACCTCATTCAAACAAATACGGTAGGGTTTGTAGTCACTCGGCTCTACAAAATCCATCTCCTTCCTCACAAAGAGGGGGCTGTAATTGCATGGATTACCAAAATGGGGATATTCTGTCAAGGCTTTATCAACAATGTTACGTGGTACTCGAATGTAACAAGAGAGAAACCTGGGAATGAATCTGTTAAAGCAGATTATTGTAAAAGGATTTAGGGTTAAATGGTAGTTTTGACGTTAGATGTTTTTGTTCGAGGATTTCATGAACGCATGTCTTCACCTTTTAATACCCCCACACTCACATAGGACATTTGTTAGGATTAAAGTGATGAATGGAATGACCTCGGTGGCTGGCAGCCTCAGCAGCAGCAGAAGTCTGTTTTTGCATGTGATCGCGTGCGCAAATGAATTAATGTACTCTGAGGTTTAACAACACATATTCAGCATATAAAGCTTGTGCTGGGTGCACATGTTTCATACCAGGGGACTCGCACCCGCACAGTACTTATAAATCTCCTTCTCACTGTGGCCACACTCTCCTTTTTCACAGCTACTCTATATCCAAAGCGGCCATGGAGGTGTAACACGGCACTGCTTGTTTCTTCCTAAACTAACCCCCAAGATTTCAGACCAATGCTCATTTTACGCACAATGACGCCTCAGTGACTGCGACCACTTTTCCTCACTCCTTATTCCCCTTTTCAATCTGGATATATCTCTGCCCCAAGGCATCGGCTTCCCCGCTTAACTTTGATTTCCTCTCGTGCTTAAAGTCACAATAAATTTATTCAAGTGTTACCCCGGACAATCAAAGCCATGTGTGCTTGCGAGGATGTGGTCTAAAGACAGGATTTATGTGGGATTTGGATTTAGGGCGCTCACTTGAGGTAAAATCAGATACTGTGACAGCATAGTGCAAAGTGCTTGGCTGTGATCTCTGATCTGTGACTGCAGGATATGATGGACGATCGGTTTCAGAGGTGTAAAACGGGGGGGGGGAGAGATTGTCACAGCAAGAGAAGTCGGGTTGTAAAATTATGTTTCGGTGTGGCTGTGTGGGGATTTTGTTACCTCAAATGGGTCAGCGCCAAGCTTTGTCTGCTTTACTTTAGTTCCCCTTTTTTGCCGCAGATCCCAGGTTTATAAACGTGCACCTGATCCCTGAGAGCGACAACCCCGAAGACGACAAGATCTTCCTGTTTTTCAAAGAGAACGCCATGGATGGAGAGCACACCGGGAAGGCTACCATTGCCAGGATAGGACAACTGTGTAAGGTAACAACACGTACAGCGAACCAAAATACCTCTTCTCTGTCTCTTACTCAATGAGAAGGCAGATTTTGTGGCTATCTGTCATCGATCTGGTTGTGTTGCAGAAATAAGTAGACGCAGAGCTCACTAAAATCTGCTGATGTTGTTGCAGAACGACATGGGAGGCCACAGGAGCCTCGTAAACAAGTGGACGACTTTCCTCAAAGCCCGGCTCATGTGTTCGGTCCCCGGGGTCAATGGCATCGACACACACTTCGATGAACTACGTAAGTGTGTGTGCTTCATTTCCATAAGGAGAAGAAAAACTCACAGAGAGCCCCAGTAAAGCCTAACCTCTTATCGTTCTGTCATTTTCAGAGGACGTGTTTCTCATGAGCTCCAAAGACCCAAAGAATCCAGTTATCTATGCTGTGTTCACCACATCCAGGTACAACCCTACGCAGGTCCTTTCATTATGACCCCACCACTATTTGGCGAGGGCTCATATTCTCATACGGTGCCCAATTCCGGTTGTGTCATATCTGTTTTGTCGACTTGTTGCTAGGAGATCAGACGGGGTTTATGTGCAGTATTTTGGTTGGGTATATCTCCTGATGAAGTGATTTCCTCTCAATCTGAAAAACACATTCTCCATATCTGCTTTCAAGACGAAATTCTTTTCACATCCTTTATTCCATCTTTTTTTTTCTAATTTCATTTCCGAAGCGAAGTATTTTAAACGACACAGCAGCATGCGAGCGACCAAGCGTGCTGCCGTCAAATTCCCAGACAGCGCTCCTGTAATCCACTTACAGGTGTCCCATGGTTGCTTTCCTTTCAGATGGAAACCCTCCCTGCATCTTAGCTATGCAATCGCTTTTATCCGAGTCCCCCCATTTCTCACTACCTGTCCCCCATTTTATTGAAACCCCTGGCAGCCTGGTAGGGAAATCAGATTAGCGAGCAGGAGGGAGCAAGAGAAACATGATATTCACTTAGCTGGAATGCCCCAACCGTGAATGGGGCTTTCAGGGGCTGGGTGTGGCTCTATTGGAGTATGTAGAGAGGTGAAGGCATGGGGAAGGGCAGATAAGTGAGCCGAAATGGCACAGATGGTGGTACTTATCATGATGATGATGAATTTGCATTTGGGAAGGAGGAGGGGATATTTTTTGTCCAATTGTGTGCGCAAAGCGCCTTGAAAAGAGGACAAACACTTCACCATCAATCACAGCAAATGATAAGACAGGCTGAATAGAGCTAACGCGCACGGACAGGTGCCCTGCCTCACCAGTCTGTGTGGCTTTTCTCAGATTTCTGGATTGGATTCAAACCAAAAGGTTGGTGCACCTTAGTGGGCATCCATTTACATATCTGCTTGTCCGCCACACTCACATGCACATATGTGTACTTTAAATTCAATTATAGGGCATTGAGGAATTAGAGTGGTTTAATTGGTTTTCTAAGTGGTCGTCTTTCAGAGATGAATAGAGAAGAGATTCAGAGGAACCAGCTTTTAATATAGCTGCTTAATGAGGCACAGAGAAGCCGCCACTGACAGATCAATGTTTGATTGTGCCCCGATGTCTCGGTGTATGTGTGAGCGCATTTTTCTGGGGTTGAATTCACACACACTCCCTCAGCCTCCGAGTGTGTGTATGTGCACAAACCCGTGGTCGACCTTCTTTCTAAGCACAGATAGTGGAGAGTCTTTTCTGCCCCTGAAGTTAATTGAATTTCTCTGTAATTAACATTTTCAAATGCTAATCCATTCATCTTCCATGCTTTGGTGAATATTGTCGGCTGTGTGTATGCCAGCCACATCCCTAATTAGTATGATACAACTTCCCATTGCAGTCAGCAAGACAAAGGACATCTTGAATCTTATTGAAGCATTTGCTCCTGCATTTGCAGATTTGATGCACAAATGAAAACGGGCCATCTGGTAAAAGGTGACTCTTGGAAACAAACAGCCTTGAATTTTTTTTTTAAGCAAGAGAATCAACTTATTGTCAATACTGAAATGTGTGAAATAGATATCAACACAGCATGGTCAGAGGTAAAATAACTCAACTGTGTTGATATACCACAGATAACCACTAAACATAGTGAAAATCTGGAGAGCGTTTAGTGTGTTATTAATTAATACCTAACTTTGGAATATTCATGTAGATCTCCCAATTCTCTACTTAGATAATTCTGTGTTACTTTAATATTTTTGTATTTTTGTATAACACTTTTCAACCTTTTCTGTTCAAACGTCTGATAAAGAAAGCTAAATTCATCCATACTGCTCTGGCAAGGGCTCACAAAAATTTTGGGTGATATTTCAAATACATTCTTATCCAGGTCTTGTGTTTGGCTGCTGGCAAGCCTAAATTCCTGTCTGTTCTCAAGAGACTGGAAGCAATAAAAAATAAGTTCCAATCTGTCATTCTTGTACTTAGATAATGACAGCCTTGCTCTCGTGTCTTTGTGCAATGAAGGGTCATTTTGTTGTCTTTCCTCAGTATTTCACAAGCTCTTAATCCCTGTCTTGTGACCAATCATTTATGAAACTCACTTTTTTGTCAGCCATCTTTACACTCCTTTTCCTCATCTCAGAATCTTGTTTTTTCTCTGTTTCTCACCCTCTGCACATCTCTGTCTCCCTCCACAGTAACATATTCAAAGGCTCAGCTGTGTGTATGTACAACATGGCAGACATCAGGAGGGTTTTTCTGGGCCCTTACGCTCACAGAGATGGACCCAACTATCAGTGGGTGCCCTTCCAAGGGAGGGTGCCCTACCCTCGGCCTGGCACTGTGAGTCCTAATACTCAAGTTTTTGCTAAAAACTGAATCACCAAGATACAAGCCACACTATTCAAAACACATGTTCTCTCTTTTTACTCTCAATCTCAGTGCCCCAGCAAGACGTTTGGAGGGTTTGACTCCACTAAGGACCTCCCAGATGATGTTATAACATTTGCCAGGGGTCACCCAGCTATGTACAACCCAGTGCACCCGATTGGGGGACGCCCAATCATGGTGCGGACAGATGTGGAGTACCAGTTTTCTCAACTGGTGGTGGACAGAGTAGAAGCAGAGGACGGGCAGTACGACGTCATGTTCATCGGAACAGGTATTCTAGTTTTTTGTGCTAATTTGGTGCAATGAAAGCATTTACAGATAAAGCCATTCCATTTTCGGGTAAATCACATTGCAAATTTCTGACAATAGATTTAAATTTGTCATCAGTCATGAAAACTGTGAGTGAAACACACACATGCAGCTTCATTCTGTGATTATACCATACCAGGATGGATACATTTTAATGATAAATACCAGTCTTAGAAGACCAGTGGCAGGACAAATGTCCAATGGCAAGTGAATTCCAAACGGAAAAACTATGTGTTGCTGTTGCAGGCCTATTTAAAGTGGAGTTTTCTGCTGCATTCATTCAAAATTTTGACTATTTTGCACCTTTTCACTGGTTTGCTCTGTGGTGTTTGGTCTGTAGCATTTAGCTACTATGAAGCAATGAAAAAAAACATTTATCCCATAAGTCTTTTCTCTTTTTTTCTCACGACTGCTGCTCCATATCTTCATTCTTTCTCAAGCTTGCTTGACCACAGCAATTCCCAGAGCTCTCCTTGATTTCCTGAATGGAAGATGAGCAACGTCCAGTCATTCTTATGTTTCTTTGTTTGTTATGTTATGCATTGAATTACAAACAAACTTTAAATAAAACTTTAATTAGCATCGCTGTCAACTAGCTAGGAGACCAAGGAACATTGGTAAAAAATAAATGGCTCAGGATACCCAACCATTCGGGAGCTGAGAAACTACAGAGATTCTGTTAGAACAGAGTTCACATAAGATTAATACAAATGAATTGCAAGTACACTTACATGTCTCTTTTTGCTATGTTTTAGACATGGGAACAGTGCTAAAGGTGGTGACAATTCCCAGAGAGAGCTGGCATGACCTCGAGGAGGTTGTACTGGAGGAGATGACTGTCTTTAGGGTATGACATTAAAAACAAAGAAACTTAATAACTATTTGTGAGGAAAATCTAAAACATTTGTTCGGTATCTCAAAGATGTGGTGTAAAATGGTCTCTATGTGTTTTGCACAGGAACCCACAACCATCACTGCTATGGAGCTGTCCACAAAGCAGGTAAACCTGGGTTCACACGTCATAATTTTTCCAAATGGTCCAAGTGAGACAAATATAGGAGCGACTGAGGGTCTTTAACCTGTTACAGATACCCTAAAACAAAGCCATGCAGTGTGGTTACTGAGAGTGGAAGCCACAGCAAGCCCTTTGCCACATTTCCACTTCACCCACACAGGAAGGTTTTATTTTTACAGCTTTGCGTTTTTCTTTCATTCCCACAGCAACAGCTGTACCTTGGCTCAGCCCTGGGTGTGTCACAGATGTCTCTGCACCGTTGTGAGGTGTATGGGAAAGCTTGTGCCGAATGCTGCCTGGCCCGAGATCCGTATTGCGCCTGGGACGGTGCAGAGTGCTCGAGATACTTCCCTACCGCCAAGAGGTAGGAGCCTGGATGCATTTACTGCTCCTCTTTTAGCTTTATTTATCCTCTGAGGGGTTTGCTGTTGCTCTTTTCAGCAAGAGTCTGACATTGCGATGTGTTATTGCACACACTCACACCTGGGAGTTATCAGTACACCTGCATTCTGCTGCAGAAGTTGACCTTAAAAAAGTTGAGCTGTCCCGAGGTAAAACCTGGTTTCTGTAGCTGCAGACCTCCACTGGCCTATTACTAATTATGGTGACTAAAAAAAATTAGACAAAGACATATAGTGCATGCCAAAACCCCCAAACATGGAAGTAATCAAGATATTACACAGGCACAAAATACAGTCATTACAAATACAATTGCACAAGTTTGCATTCCAAGAAATACAACCCTGCAACCTGGGTTGGTGCTCCTGCCAGCGTAGGAGTTGTTCCGAGTTGTGAATCCATCATCCTACTGTCAGGATACACATACACACAAATGGCCAGACACACAATGTCATCCACACCGGCTCACATGCACTAAATTATGACCAACGGGAGCTGTCTGACCGCTTCACCCTGCAGCCAGGAGGTATGAACATACACGCCCTCAAATTACCCTCCGCTGTAACCAGAAGGCTTAGGCTGACCACTTCGGCCCTCACACACATAGCACTACATTTCCTTCATCCAGAACTTCTCACACTAGCAGAAGTAGGCCAGTGGGTATACTTCAGCTTGGCAGGGTTATGGAAGAGGTGGCACGCCCCATGGTTAAAGGCCAGGACTGTCTCCTCTCAGCTCTCCACTCCACTGAAAATATGTTCTCTTGCGGAATAAGAACCAGGGCCCCACATGTGCTCAAGTGGCCAGAAAGACTAGAATATTAGCTCAGGAAATGCACGGAAAATAGAGGTAAGAAAGAGGGAATTTATGAGGATGTGAATGGAGATGAAGCTCATGACTAGGAAAGCCGTTTGGAACAGGGGATGCAAATTGTAATCTTTTTTCACCTCCTGCTGAGTTCCATTCCGTCCAGCCATCTTGAATGCCTCACCATTACGTCACCTGTCAAGTTGTCAACAGTTTTGAACTATGACAGCTCAGAGCCATGGATATCTTTACAGCCAGTCGGTAAAAGACGGGCTATGAAAGTGCTGTGCTGTCACTGTAAAAACACAAGCGATACAGAGGACTTTCTTACAGGGAGGACAAAGATCCGGGGTGTTTCATAATAATGGCTCATTGGACAGCAGTGAAGCACAGCATTTCACTATTCAGCAGATCTACGTATGTGTTTTATTGCTGTATGTTTAGTTTTATTTCTCATTCATAGAATTTAACAGCGGGAGTGTATAAATGCCTTCATTCTCCAAGGCTAGATAACATTGCCCCCTAGTGTTTAAAATGAAACAGTACAAAAAAGCCACATGTTGGCAATATGTTTTAAATGGTGCTCAAATAGAAAGAACATTTTTTATACTAAAATTATCTTTATCTGGGGTTCATCCACAGGAGAACCAGGCGGCAAGACATCAGAAATGGGGATCCTCTTTCTCAATGCTCAGATCTTCAGCACCACGGTATCCAAAAGGCCGCATGACAACACACGCAAACATATTTCTGTCTCCTTTTCTCCTCTGAGTGTGTTTGTTATGGTTTGTTCAGATGAAACGGACGGCATTGCTGGCAGTGTGGAGGACAAAAGTGTGTTTGGTGTGGAGAACAGCAGCATGTTTCTGGAGTGCAGCTCCAAGTCTCAGAGAGCGCTCATCTACTGGCAGCTGCAGAGGCCCAACGACGATCGCAAGCAGGAGGTTTGTTATGCAACCAAGTCCTAGCTGAATTGGTAACATGACAGAATTATTTACAGGTAGAAAAGCAAAGATAGATAAGTCACAATTGAGACTAAGATATCTATTTCACATGAATTCCTGTTTTTCAGAGTAAAGAGCTCTCTTCCCAAAGCTAAACACCTCCTGCCCTATCATCTGATGACCTATGACTCTGTTAATCTTGAGACACTTAAACCTGGAGGGGCAAAAAGCTTTGGGTGGGGATGTTTAGATTCACTCTTGACCTTCTGCGGTTATGAGTTACTTTTGCAATGCGGCTCTATTTTTCTAGCTGATCGCTGAGAAAAATCTTGTGACAGATAGTAGATAGAAATGGAAATTAGACAGGAAGTAAAGTTGAACTATATATTCTTAAATCTAATGGCTTATCAGATTAAAAACACAGCAGGTCCATGAGTTTATCTGGAAAGGAAATTACCACTTCATGGCTCTACACGGTCTGGCCATGACAGCTGCTAGATTGATAGTTTTAGATTCATGTTTTTTTATAGACCATTTTCAAGGAACAATGATGTGTTCACGTGCCGATGTTCTCTGCGTGAATGTTAGATCCAAGTGAATCTCTGGTTAAAGTGAAAAATGGATATTTGTGGACAATGTTTTGTGTTCAGTGTTTGTCTCTTCTACTTAGAAAAGACATCACCTTACCGCTTATGCATTTGCAGAGCCAATTTTGGTATAGTGAGGGTGGGTAATCATTGCTCTCGTGCAAAATTTGCAAATGTTTGTGAACAGTTGCAAAGCGTTTGGACAGGGGGAAACATAGGATGTTGAAAATTGAGATTACACATATTAAAACCACAAACTAGAGCCTTAGCTTGGTGGACCGTATGCTTTCTGGGTTCTGATGTTTGTTATTTATCCCATATTCAGCTTAGAATTCCCTTCTTGGGGTTCAACCCCTGGTTTTATGTGCTATGGGGCTGGTCATTTTCCTAACTGGGTGATATCAACATAGCAACCAATGTTGTAAACTTAAAAATCTTAAAAGTTAGTGTAGAATTGTTGCTTTTATTGCTTTTATTGAAACCATTTTTGTAATTTCTCAACTTGTATCTCTTTCTCCCTCAGATTAAAGTGGACGACAGGGTGCTACGTACAGATCAGGGCCTGCTGATCCGCAGCCTGAGTCAGTCTGACACAGGGGTCTACCACTGCCAGGCTGTGGAACACGGCTTCATTCAGCCCCTGCTGCGCCTCAGCCTTCAGGTCATCCCCACCCAGAAACTGGGTGACATTCTACCCGGACTTTCCGGTGCGGGGGGTGGCTTAGGTCACTCAGCCAAGCACAGGGTGTGGTACAGAGACTTCCTGTCTCTCTTAGACCACCCAGAGCTGAACAGTGTGGAGGAGTTTTGCGACAGAGTTTGGAAGAAAGAGCGCAAACAGAAGAGGGTGAAGAGTCCTAACGGCAATGGTCAGGGCAAACCTGACGGCGGTCCAAGCTCCAGCTCTGCAATACGGCCTAAAGCTCTGGCCCCCACTGCTCAGAAGCAGCACGCCAGTCCCCCACACGGCAGGCCGTGGCTTCAGGCCGGAGCTCCAACTGAGGAGGGGCCGACACGGAGCCAAAATGCACAGAAAGGTCAAACAAATATGGGTCTGCTCAGCAGCCAAACTCCTAAGAGCAATCAGAAGACACAAAACGGCCAGAAGGTGCAGAGCGGCCTGGCTGCTTCCCAGGCTGCAGGGGGATCTCGGGTGAGCAGCCAGCACACGGCTAAGTGGAGACGGATGCAGGAAAATAAGAAGGGACGCAACAGGAGGACCCACGAGCTCCAAAGACCCCCCCGTAGTGTTTGAGAAAAAAGTGCAGATATGCACAGATTCAGCGAGATCTACATCCACACATACAAGCACAAAGTCATGCGTCCACATGAATACGTGAAACTCATGCTATAAGTTGTGAAATCGGTGACCTCTTCATGACAGCAGCCAGAACAAAAGAAAACCATCATGCACAGTTTTTAGGCAAAAATACCAGAATTTCATTCATGTAACAAAAATAAAACTCTCATTCAAAAGACGCACATAAATGCACACAACCTGTGAAGACAAAGATGATCAGAGGACTTAAAAACTGGAATGCAAACTGTAAATGTGTGGGGATGTGGCTCGTTGCCTAGGATACCGCTTGGCAAACTCATCAGCCTCCTCCTGTATATAAGCTACTAAAATAAGACTGGGACAGAAATGTTTAGTTAAGTATTTGTCAGCGAGCAAAAAGGACTTATTGTGCTGAGAGGACAGATGTGGAGACATGGATAGATTCATGGAAATGTATGGAGGCAGACGTTATACTGTCCTGTGTGACCTGAGCATGTGAACTAGTATACATGGAATTGGATTAAGAACTCTTTTTTTGAGGAGTTGTTTGAGGAGAAAATCTAGTCATCTAGTCTTTCATGATGAGCACAGCAACGGCGCCCTTAATGGAGGGAAGAGGAGGGGCGCGGTGGACCGTGGCGTGCACATGGCTTGCATCTGCGACTTTCATTGCGTTCTGTGAGAAATGGGAGTATTGTTACACGAAAAAAGAAAAAGCTAAGTCATGCCACTCTACAGATCAAGTACTTGATCGTGACCTTCTCCACTGAGGCTGGGAAAGCATTGTGCATGTTGTTGTCAATCAATGTTTTAATAAGCTAATTATTTTATAGAACACCACGGGCTTTTTGTTCTTCCTCCTCTTTTTTTTCATGGTTATATTTTTTTCGCTCATATTTACTTTCTTTTCCAAACCTTTGCTTTAGTTTTGGGGGCAAACATTGCAGGCAGCATAGTAGCCGTTATTTTTGTGCATAATCCCCCTCTGCTCCCGAGAATTCTCTGTAACTTATTATGTTGATGCTTACTCTGGGATTTACCGAATTTGGACACAAGTCCCAGTTTCAGGTATGCTTAAAAATACACCAGTCTGAAACAGGGCTGCAACTTGTTTTGTGTACATATATACAACAATCTTAACTCTGTGTATATACAGTACATATACAGTACAAAAGCACCATTTGATGATTATTTATTGCTCATTGTTTTGTGAAAAGGTTGCATTTATTTTTGATATTATGATATTTTTGGCTCATCAGTATATTGGAGAAACCATGGCAACAGTGACAAAAATGCTTTGATGGACCAACAGAGTTAGAATTAAGTCAAACTTTCCTCTTTTCGGGGATGTATAGGCTGATAGAGTTTCGAATCATGGCCGCAGGGGTTTCTGCCTTCATTACCCACATTTTTGACAACGATAAGCACAATTTTGTCTCTTTTTGCCTTTCATAGCGACTCTTTTCATCATGCTTTCCTTTTATCCAGATCCATCCAACAGGTCTTCTTTTCATCCAGTAGCTATTACGTGTAAGATAATTCCCCAAACAGAAAAAAACATTAGCTGTGAATCTCTGTAAGAAATAGTGGAGAAAAATGTTAAATCTAGTCTGAGGAGAAGACACATTATACTGCATGTGAATGCTTCCGACAGTAAGTGCATCTTTTCTATTGTCTTTTTATGTGTTTTGTGTGAGAGGTAAGATTCCCTCAATTAAAGCAAAGTGTGAATTATGTTTTGTCCTTTTGCCAAAACAGTGATATTAACAACGTATACTCTGGCCAAAGCTGTTGAAGATCCAAGCTCCTTTATCTTTGATTCAACAACGGCACCTCCCGTTCCCCCCACTCCTCAATATCTGACAAGAATAATGTGTCAGTGCAATAAATTAGAGCAGAAAGTGTTCCAACACTCAGGAGTTTGTCTCCCCGTCAAGAGTAAGAAATATGAGAGAGCAGCGAGTAACCACAGCTGTAACACAGCTCTTTCTGGCATGCATACAGTTGTCTAAATAAACATCTCCGTTACAAAAAACAAAATGTTGCTTGTTCTCATTTCTGACATAATCCTTCTATACACAGTATACTCACTTTTTCACTAAGGGTCCAACTTGTACAGGGCGGCACAGCAAGAGCAATCTGGGTCCAAGTCCTTGGGGGAACCAATTAATTACTTTACTCACCTTTAAAACCAGGTTTGAATTGGCTCCAAAGGGATCATTTCCATAAAAATCCACCAGAGGCCGCTGTTGTCTAACTGGCCACGAAGCCTCCTCTTTATTGGCTCTGTGATATTTTGGGTCTCAAGTGCAATCTGTATCTGCAATCTGTGCTGACATGTTACGATATCTTCCTTTGAAAGTCAGACACAATCACTTCAGACAGCAACGGGTCCAGTGACCAGAAACTTCATAGTGAGTGGGCGTGGGCATGTCTGTGTGCTTTTTGTGTTAGCTGAAGTGATTAGAGTGCAATCATGTTCCCTGCCCTGAGGTATCATGGACCTGTTACCATGACGACTCTCCTTGAATGTCCTGCACTGTCTGTCTGTGTCTTTAAAAACACTCACTTTCAGCAGCGGAGCAGGGACGTCTTGGCCAATCTTTGGAGGGTTTTATGACAATGTCTTTTGCCTAATTATCTAATTATTTTAGTAATATCTGCTTCTTACAGCAGCCCTTCTCTTCTGAATGGCTTTTCTTTCTCTATCAGCCCTGACTTGAATTCAAGTAAGAAAAAACAAAATTGGTAAAGGGCAAAAATTATCCAGTGTGCACCAGCCAACATGTGATCAGTTGGATTGATATTATCACTATGAAATAAGCCACAGTTTAGTTATGAAACCAAAAACTGATGTGAACTTGGTGTAGGTTGGAGATGTCTAACTATTCTTCAAGATAAACATGACTTCGTGATTTGTGTCCTGTGCATGGGCAGTATATGTGTACGTACATCCATAGCTGCTCACGACTCTTGAAAGTTGACTCTGACTCATTCCTTCTTGCCCATGAGCTGGCTGATGGGATTGTGGGAAATCAAGGCTGTGGGCAAGCAGTGAGGAGGAGATTTAGGTCACTGACAGGACAAGATAGAAAGCTGCTGCCTACGCTTTGGACGGAACCATAGAAGAAAATAAAGAATCTGTGTGGTTATTTTGCAGAATATTTAATCTCTTTCTGTAGAAACACTTTCCTTGTCTCGTTTTATTTTTCTATGCCTGTATCTGTCGCCCTCTGGCTGATGTGAAAACACCTGTAAAGTTGTTTTATTCTCATTCACCTTCTCTAACAGCAGGTAAACTGCTGTGACAACCACAGACACTTACACGTGCACATTGACTTTATTGTTGTGCATTATACAGCAGGGAATTGAAATCTGAGTTATGTTCACCTTCAAGGGATCCCCTAATTAGCAACCCTGCAGGTTGTTGGGAGCTGAAGCAGAAACCACGGCAACTGGGGTGGGATCTGACACAAAGCATATCTCCCTGATGACACATGACATTTTCTATCCAAACTAATCCCTGCTGTGTTCTCCAGGTGTATCTTAATTTTCTTCCCCTCAAACTGTTCGCTGGATCTAGACTTACTGGTTGCCCCATCTGGCAAACAATAATCATATTGACAAAGAAAATATTGAACATTTGGACATTAAGCTCAGGATTTCTATGCTGTGCCCACTTTCCCTCCCAAAGCATTAAATGAAAATTATATTGATTTGCTTCTGTCTTTGTATAAAACTATTGCTGACATCTGTTCCTTAAAGCGGTCATATTATGCTATTTTATGATTTTAGAAATTTATTCAAGGGCTCTCAAGTAAACTTTATCAGCAGCACCAACAGCGATGTTCCACATCAACGTTCTGATTTAGCTTATTTTCTAATCAGGCCACCTCCTCCTTTGATAATCTCAAGGTCCATTAGTTTTCCCATTGGCATAGCATGAGCCAAGTAGACTTGATGGAGGGCGATGAGAGAACATGTTTTCTCCTTCATGAAGCAAAACATTCTTGCCATTGGATGACAGATGTCATTTTCACACTGCCATGATCCATCAAAACAATCAGGGGACATTGTGTCAACAATTGCTGACAAGATAAAAATATGACAAAGAGAAACATCGACAGGTATTATCTGATGGGTAACGTACTGTCTAAGGACAATAATCAACAGAGTTAGACATTTCATTCCTTTATTCTAGAGAAAGAACAACTGTACATTCTATTTTTCATGATGTTCATGACGATTAATTAAATTTAATTTAGCTGTGTGATTTATCTCTTTTCTCAACAATTATTAAGTTTCAGACACTCACACAGTTGGCATATTTAAAAACAAAATATAAGATAGTATCATAACTCAGGAATAATTTCAACCAATAATGAGGCTAGCAACTCTCATTCTTAGCTTTTATTGGCTATTATTTGGACGGAAATAAAAGCTAATCACTCAACCGTTCATCTCCATGTTGCTTCTCAGAGGGGAAGCTTCTCTTCAATGCTGAAGTGCAGGCTTCATAAATAGAAGCATGTTACATCGCTTCACTCTGACTGCTTTGGACTGATGGCATAATCAATAATCTAAACCTGTCCCTCTCTAGAGAGGATGCAGACTCTAACTAAAATGCAGGGTTACATCCAAAGACTTGGTAAATCATTAAGGACTACCCAAGCACTCCTAAGTCATCTTAGATTTTGCTAATGCTGTGTCATGACTTAGAAAGGTAACCCAAGTGCCCATAGAAACAGTTGGTTCAGGAGTATTTTTACAAAACATCCTGGTTGACTTTATAATATGACGAGTTGTTTGCACATGCACATTAGAATTTGTTGCCACAGCGACCCATCTGTGTTTGGTCTAGCTGAGCATAAGGGACTTCATCCCTATTTGTCATGTGATGACGCAACATCCTGTGACGCGTTTAAAGATTAATAAATAATGAAAAGGTGTGGGTGACTTGATTGGCATTCAAAGCCATACAGCTTTTCATTTCATCTCCAAGCACTCTATTACCGAGATTAAAACAAAAAATATACCCGTGGCCTAAAGTACTGCTGGCAGTCTTCTTCCATTACTGATGAATCAGCTCATTAGATCCTGGATGAGCATTAGTTACGATGTCAGCTGCTGTCAATTCATTTATAAAAATGAAAGAGAAATGTAGAGTTAGAGATGGATATGAGGACAGGCAGATACATGGGCAGGATATGAAAGTCGTTCTCATTGGCCATGTTTCCAATGAGAAATTGCAGTGAAATGTAAGAGGAACACACACACACGTACTCAAATCAATCAGAGATCAATAGACTGTCTGATTGGATGATGTGTCTAAATGGAGATTTATCAGGGAAATACTGATCAGTGCTATGTCACTACTCCTTTACACATTTTAATACCCAAAACATAAGAATAAAATTGAAAGTCTAATCATTTTCAGGAGGCATCAATCTTTGTCACAAGAGGGGAGGGTTTTATTGTCATCAATCTTTCACATTGAGAGGAGCCATTGAGAGGAGCGTGATTATGAATCTGCCTCCACATCTCAGGATACTTTCACAGAGCCAAAGTGTTAAAGTTAAGGTGTGAACTCGTGATAATTCAGGGCTGGGGTGGGTTTTCAGTAATAAAATACAGGAGAAGAGTATAGAATAAAAATGCCACTGGTTAAAACCCGCAATGAAAAGCTTCAATACTGATGAAAAGAAATCTAAATTTTGAGCTTCAAAACTTTAATTGATATATTGGATTACGTCATTAACTTGATATGGATTGCCCTTTGGGTGAACAGCAAATACGCACACAGAATCCAGTCAAGTCGGGTCTCAGGAAGGGGAAAAATAAGTCCTGTATAGGCTCCTGACATTAAGGGTGAGCAAATCTGACCTTTTTTCTGGCGGAAACTAGACTTGGCATCATCTCTTAAAACTGCTAACAGTTGTAGAAAGATACTTTCCATCAGTCTGATTTAGCAAATAATGGTGTTGCTAAAGCTACTTAGCATGATAAACAACCACGCACAGTCATTAGAACATTGCACTGAACAAGAGCGTCTTTAGTCAGAGACTTCTTCAGCCCTGCTGCAACATGGACGAGTGCAGGAAATCATTCTTGTCCATCACATTGACCATTTACACATTACCTATTTTCTTCCTTTTTTCCTCCGTATAAACGTTTTCTTGAGGTGGCCAATTAGCAAAAGCAGTCACTTCCATGGAACAGAAAAAGAAATGACTGGTGTACTCAGATGGCTTCAGACATCCAAGGCAAAAGGCTTGAGAGTGCTGTCACATGGATGATTTCTGGGAAGTTAGGAGAGAAGAGTCTTCAGGTTTCAACCAAGCACAAAGAGTAAACTGCAACTATTTGTTGTGATTCTATATTTTCCCCGTCAGCCTGTTAAATCTGCTGCTGTTAAATCAATCAGCTACTGGACTTGTGGCTTTGAAGATTGGCCTCCAGACAACAACCAGTAAATCCTATTAAGAGTCCTGCTACAACGTAAAGTCTCCTTCTAATGCCCTTCACACAAGCGCTACATCATTGTACTTAAAATAAATCCAACAAACACGGATTTCAGGTCCAGCCTCCTGTGCTAAAGTGGCCAAGTCATAACACGCAGCAAAAAAGGTTGCCGAGCTTCAAGACATCTGAAACGCAGCTTCAGTTTCCAGCACTTTGATGTTTAACACATTTCATGCTGTGGCAGTTTCACACGGTTGTCAACTTGAGCTTCTTGACAGTTCAGGCGCGCGCACATTCTCATTTCTTCGTATTTGTGCTAGTGTGAGTTTGACTGGAACAAAGAGACTTATATAACCGAGGCTCTGTTTTGAGAGGCTGAAACAGACGTCATTCTGTGTCCTCAGGGAGAGAATAACATTACTTAAACAAAATTTAGCTGGCAGGAAAATGCAAGTTTGTTCCATTTCTTGAATACTGCAGAATGAGATGTGTGAATGTTCCCTAGATTGGCACAGTTATGCCATCCACTCCCTTTGTTTGGGCTCTAAAGATCAACCAATGATAGTGCTATGCACATCTTGGTGCAGCATTTTCATTGTTAACATAGAAATGAAGTCGTGTATGTAAAATAAAATTTTGCAAGAAATTAATCATTTATCCTGGAGCCTTCTTAGCACTTGTTTTGTTTGTTTG